AATTGTAATTGTTTAATATAATATTTTTTACGCATTCAGCTTAAGAGATTTTTTTAAACATAGGTTGTTTGCTGCATAGAACATTAATTACCCCTGGATTATTGATTGAATGCAATACTTCTTTCAAAGTTCTAAAGTTTTAGACCAATTCGTGTTTTCTATGGCAATATAAAATAACTGCGTTCAAAAATTTTCGTTGTGAAATTTTAATGAAMACAACAATTTGCTCATTTTATGTTTATTACAATAAAAAATTAAACAGGAAAAACATAATGTGTGACAATTTAAATTAACTTCAACACGCCTATCAACAATACATCATATATAGAATTCGTTGAAAACAAACGGTGTAAATTAGCTGTTTTTTAAATCATTATAAATTTTATAGTACTTATTTCGTCAAAGAATACACGTAACCGAATTACTTTACCTACATTTACACACTTGCACCGCGGAATAAACAAACAATGATTGTTAGTCACTGCCATGAACAGTAAGCAATTACACTTATACACCAACAAATAAAATGACATTATTATATAAATAATAATAATAATAATAATTATTATTATTATTATTATTATTATTGAGTGCTCGCACACGTGTATAATACTGTTCATCGTGAATCCAGGACGATGACGGCCATATGTTTCGTGTGCAACCTGCCGATTCTCAGCCACCAGGTGGGTCTGGTGTGGCAGGGCGGCAACGGTTGGGACGACATACTGCGCGAGCAGATGGAGGAGACGACGATCAAACAACGGCTGGGYGGTCGTCGGGACTCGGCCGCGCAGATCACCACCGAGTCGCCGCCGACGGAGACCGCGGAGACGTCACCACCGGTCAGCCGGCGCCGGAGGCGCAGCTCGCTTGCCCAGCTCACCGACATATTGCGCGAGTGGAGCGGTACCGGCATGGGTGGAGGTGGCGTTGGAGGTGGAAGTGGATCGGGCGGTGGAGGCGGTGGAGGTGGTGGAGGCGGCGGCGGTGGAGGAGGTAAGTCGGGTAGCCGGCCAAAGGGCATCACCAGGCGCGAGACACTGGCCGACATCGCCAAGACGCTTCCGTTTGGTCGGTCCAACACGATCACGTCGTCCCGAAAGCGGCGCGAGTCATCCGTTGATTCAGGTGTCAAATCGTCGTCCAGCAAAGGTGGACGTCGAGACTCYAAGACCGACTTCCGAGCTGACATTGCCAAACTGCTCAACAACCGCCGTGACTCCATCATAACACCCAGCAGCATTTCGCAGCAACCAAGGCGCAGAGGATCTGGAGAGTAATTATCATTTCCATTAATATTATTAGTATTACATTATCATTATTATTATTAGGTACATTGTTAAACAGTTTTCATAATATGATACAGTTATCAGTTTAGGTTAAGGGTAGGTACTTTAGAGAAAGGGTTGTTTATCCCAATTATTAATCATATGTACAGCTATCAGCGATTAAACTCCAAAACTACGGATCATGTATATTTTACTATTTTTCACAAATATAAAATGCGATAATTTGATAGTTGAAAATCACATTTGTGAATAAGTACAGTTATATAAAATGAAAAAAAAAATAAATATAAAAAGTATTTAATTCAGTTGTTATATATGTAGGTATATTTTATATAGAAAACAGTACTAGTCGAATARGGAAAAGTACATTTTGGTTGAAAATGGGGATACCCAAAAGTTACAACCACAATGGTCACCTATTACTCTTATTCGGATCAGTATTCTGCTGAATAATTCTGGAAATTCAAGTTTTATTTTGCTTCCTCTCAWGTACTATCCATCTACATAAATATTAATACAATCAATAGGAATACAACATAATATTCAAGCACCTCTCCATCAAATCATATTCTTTTGTATCAAATGTATTCCAAATCTTACAAATGCACTTGCAAATTTACGCATCAAATAATTTCCATAAACTGATAAGTTTATATTTTTTTTTGTCAGACATAATATTATACTTCATTGAGAATCGTTAAAGTTGTATATAACTTTTAAAGTGAATCGTAGAAGTATGTAATTGGAAAATTTTATATGCCAGAAAATAAAGAATTATAAAGAGGTAGACGACATAGACGTAAATAAACAGTGATTATAATAAACATAGGTAATAATTAAAAAAAAAAAACTAATAATTATATCATAACAAAGTTAATTTGTATTTTATATTATCAAATAATACATATTAATTAATGAGATAGAAATAATACAAGCTAATATAATAATTGAAAAGAGTAAGTTAAAGCGATAACAATATTAAAAATGTATATGTTATAGACAATGGAGAATTCATAAATGTGATACTACATGACTAACATTCACATTAATTAATATTATTTACGAAGTGTTTTAAAAGTTTAGGATCATTCTATTTTCATTGTAATTTCGATCACGCGCCTAACTAAATTATATATAAAAAAAAAAAAACATATAATAGTTAAAGATTAATTAAATGTATATTTCTATAAAAAAAAAAAAAAAAAAAAAAAAAAAAAAACAGTAATTGTAAATTTTTTTCGTAATAATTATTATCATAATATTCAATTTAATCGTTTTATTTGTTATAAATTGAATGTCAAATTTTTCTGCCAACTTTCTAGAGATAAATATTCTATGTATCCTTGTAATATCCATTTTCACTATACGTCCGAGAATGTTCTTCAATAATATACTATCACGATCCATTAATACTACAGTCGTATATTGATGAACAAACGTTGCCTATTGTTGATTCAAAACAAAGCTTTCTGGTGAAACTGTTTTTATAAAATCACATAAAATCTTGGGTCGCCAAACATACAATTTACACATCATATATCATCTGCGATAGGTTGTATTCCTCCATATTAATAATGCTTATCATTTTTGTATTAGACATTTAGTTTACTTGTAATATTTCTTTAAGTTTTTGATATAATAGGTGCCTATTGTTAAACTTATTTAAACGTAATCCATATATAATATATTAAATCCAATACAACGATCATAATGCATAATATTTATTTCATTTAAAATGTATTTAATTAGGTAAAAAACTATAAACATARTTGACTATAAATATGTTTTATTTATGTGCTGTTTTATATTTTTAAATACAGCCATTTGAGAAATCACTATTCTACATTTTTTTTCTGTACATTATTATGAAATTTGACGTAATGGAATATAATACTGAAACCATGAATATAAAATAGAACAATTTTATTATAAAATAAWACAACCAACTTAGGAGTTATCAGTGCATATAAATTTAAGTCTATTACTTGATAAATTTCTAAACATTTTGAATTCAAGCGAAGGCATTTCTGTTAGAGTTTCAATAATAATAAAATGTAATTACAATATATTGTTATTATATGGCATCTTGGATGAGCAATCATGGTCATACATCCATTATCTTTGTGTTAAATTGTGTTTTCATCACCTTTAGTTTGTGAGTGACGTGATTAAGCATAACGACTGACAAATTGGCAAGACGAAATAATTTTGATAATCTCATCAACATAAAAAAAAATCGTTTAATTGAACCAAGACACACTAAATCTAGACCAAATTATAAAAATGAGAATGTTCAATCTCAGTTCTATTCATCTTTAACGCTATACATGTTATGATAACCTGTACAGTATAAACTGACAAAATATTCCAAAAAGGTATACAATTTAATTTTTCACATTTATAACGAATCATTCAATTTTTACTGTAAGATATATTCAACTCGATACCATTACCATTAAAACTCCTTYGCAACACCACCGCTACAGTTCATGCAATATTATTAAGAAAGTTTTCATYCACTTTTTTAATGTGTAATATTATAACAATTCCATATCCACGTAAAAAGTTATTGAAACTGTTTCTGTTTCTGTCTTCATACATTTCCCAATACTTTACACGGAAATTTTCGATAATACATCATTCTTACAATAGATTTATAAAAACTCATTTTTTGAATCACTTACAAGTGAAGTTTATTATACGTCATTATTTTTTAACTAATTMTTATTTGACTTTTATATCACGTCTGAAAACTGTAATTAAAACTTTTTTTCAATTTCAATATCATATTACGCTTTAGCCCTTTTCTGATAGAAACTCACAAAATAAATTAAAATGAAAAAGTTTTACGAATTCACTTTGCCACAGCATAATTATAAACACGCGCCTACGCCGCCTTACACCAACTAAATTTATTGAATCTTTTTATTTGACAATATCTTATTTTACTGAAAACCAATATCCCATTTATAATATAATTATAAYCATAACAGATATTTATTAAGATTACAAATGGTTTTTATTGATATATTATAATCTTACATCCTGCAAAATTACATATCACCATTTACAGCTATAACACCAGTAAAATTCAATTTTTTAGTTATAATATTTTACCAGCTTCATCCAATACTCAGATACCCAGCGTTAAAACACAAAACTCAATGGCTGCGTGACAGTAGTATTCTGATGTTTTCAGTCATTTATTTAAGTAGTCTTCACAAACATATGATATTATCAATACTCGTGCGTGTACCTATAACCATTCTGTATTTTGATCGTTTTTATACACAAATTAGCTCTACTATATTTTAAGAATCATAAAGTTTTGAGGACTAATAACTCTTAATTCCCTTTACTCCGTAAACAAGCATATGTTCTTCTTAATATACCTTTTCAATAAACAACCATTAAATACACAATTATTATATAATGTTAAATTGTAATATATTAATATTGTGATAGGTTGTGTACTAAATGTCCATATTTTCTAATATATAATAACATTAACCATTGATATTTACTAATAAATAAATTTGTATAAGTTAAATATGATATTATTRTTATTATTATTATCTCACTAATAATTGAATAAAATATTAAATTATTATTATATATAAATAAGGTTTGTGATTTTTATATACTATTGATTATAAGCTTATGAAAATAATATGACCAGAGAATAATTTTTCCAGTATTCTGATTTATTATTATTCTTATCCTACAAACTYAGCTTATTGTTTGACTTTTCATACTCTTCGTAATGCACTTTAAGCACTCATTTATTTCATCATCGTTTAATATTACATACTTTTAATGAATAATATTTATATTTATTTCATGCCTAGTTTTTTCTTCATTTTTTTAGTGTTCCTATACAACATAAAACCGACGTCGGTCGATATTATTTACGGGTTGGTTACTTTTACTTTAAATTTTACGATATTTTAAAATATGGTTTCATCTGCAGTGATTACGCCTTTGATGGATATGTCCAACAATTTATTCAACAGTCATACGAATTCCATCAAAATTGTCAAAAACAATTCCTATTGTAATAATTGTCAAAAACAATTCCTATTGTAATGGAAAACAACTTGTAGGTAACTTATTGTGACATCATTTATATATATGTATATATAATTGCATCAATATAATAATTTTCAAGTAGAAGAATCATATTGAAAACAAGACGGAATTCATTTTAAGTTATTAAAAAAAAAAAAAATAATAATAATACAATTTCTGTATGGAAATTAAGTTACTCAGGTATTTTATATTGAGATAAATATCGTTAGAATTTATGTTGTTATTTTAAATATTAAACCTTTTAACACAGCTAAAATAACTTGACACTCCTTGCTTTAAACTACTGGTATTTAAATGCTATTTGGTTTATTTAAATAGGGTATTATTCCTATTTTAAAAGCATAGCAAAATAAATTTAAATATTACATAATATTTAATAATTTCAAGTTAGTTTAATGCACTGAACGTATTATCCAAATGGTWGTGCTCTGTAATTATCAATACAAATCTAAATTGCTTATTCCCATTAATTCCCAAAGACCATTGATTATGAAATTAAATTTAAACTCCATTTTATATTTCAACTTTTACTTATCGTACGTCTTCAAATTATTTTAAGTTTTAAATTAATTTAGCCATCAGCTTTATTTTGCCTAAAACTCTGTGATCGAAAATTCGTAGAATAGTATTTAAATTTTAGATAATATTTTCTTTAATCGAATAAAATATCCACGATCTTATTTAAATTATGTTTTAATTTTCAGTCGATATCAGTAAAAGTTCATGCACTAAAGCGTGAATCTGAATCGGAATTATTTCGTTAAYATGAAAAATACTACGTTCTAACCATAACAGAATCCATTTTTAGTTTGAGGAACTCTTATATTCAGTAAATCCATACAAGTGAATAAATTTATTTTCATCACTGATTTCATATTCCTTTTAAAATGCACATTTGTTAATTTCTTATTGATGTAAGTCAAACTACAAATCATATTCTACTTATTTTATGTTTTGAATATTTATTATTACCTTCATCGTTTTATTTTCGAAACAATTAAACACTTAGATGTATCTTTACCTACACTGAATAATAATTATAAATATATTAATGAAATATGTAATAAAACAAAACTTAATGTTACTAACGAGTAATACAAGAATAATAAATTTAAATTACAGACACTGAAATTTTTTTTTAAATGATACAATATAATAAATATCRTAATATGATATTTCAACAAGAAGCCTATAATTTGAATAAGCCTATAATTTTATATTAAATGCCACAAATATTAGGACATTTCTTTAACTAAGACATTATATCTTTTCTTGTATGATATTGCAAATAAATATAATAATATTATTCAACCATTATCTTTTGTTCATTTCTGTGCGGTTTTAGGGAAATATTAATCAATTTTCCAAAAAAAAATGTATTTATAGTAAACAAATTTCAATAAAGTATATGCGAATGAGTAAACAAATTTCAATAAAGTATATGCGAATGAGTAAACAAATTTCAATAAAGTATATGCGAATGAGGTGACCCAGTTTTTAACCCAACCGGTTAGGTTAGTATAGGTTAGGCTGGTATTATACACCGGATATTAAATGCGTGTATCTAACTTGAAATGCATTTTAACATAACGTTTTGAAGTAATTACAATATACCTACATTACGTTTATCTAAAATCTATTAATCTTGATATAAACAGTATATAATTGTTTAGTACTTTATTAAGTTATTGTTTTCGTCATATCGATTCATGTATTAATTTTAAGATTTTAGTAACGACCTTTTTAAAAACCTTTAATACGATTCGTTAAATCAATTCTTAGTTTGCTATAGCTATTTAATAAGTTCCACAACCATAAAAACCAGTAAAATKTTTGGTGTTGACTTCGATGTTTTAAAGCATAATTGGTTCTCATGACGTGAGTTCTTTAAGTTCTAACCCAACTCACTCGTTATTACGTTTTCAGCATCGGTCATTCAGACGGCGATGGCGGACGTCGYGGGTCTAGGGATGACAGCCGTGCGTTCCGACAGCACCGCACGTGTCACAAGCGCAGGGACTCCCAGGCAATCGTTGTGCCGGGTCAGTCCACGTCTTCCAATGGGTCGACAGGTGGCCACGGCGGTGGGGATGGTCCTATAAAGACGGTGGACGACCAGACCATGACGCCACCGACGATGGTCATCAGCAGCGTTACGCCTCCTCCCACTTCGCCACGCGCACCTCTATCACCCACTCACCACCACGCACCGTCGTCTTCTGTCTCGTCCGGCACCACGTCCATCTCCAATGCCGCTAACTCCACCTCCATCACCGCCACTTCCAACACTTCTATGGTGAACACGCAGCACAGCGTGTCATGCGGTTACACTCCACCAGTGTCGGGGCCCAGCTCACCAGTGTCTGCGGTGCCATCGACGCAGATGTACGCCAGCAACGTGACGCACGCGCCGCCCGTGTCCCGAAGAGACTCCACCACACAAGTGAGTGTTCAACACCTATCCCGAGACGACTTCCGCTCGTTAACCCCATACAACTATACGAATCAAAAACATTTAATAGGATATCAGCACACTATTTTCTTAAATAATATACCATAAGTTTAATAACTGGTTTATGCTCAATTTTGCTATACTCAACTAGTTGTTTATATTAAAATTAGGTAATCAATGGCGTATTTCACAAATATTCTAACAGAGTGGATTTATGACAAGGCTTTTTGGTTGTGGAGAGGTATTATGAGTAGTAATAATGCACTAACGATTTTTTTTCTTTTATACCAAAATAGGTGTATTCCTCGAGAGCACGCCGGAATTCCAAACCTCACGTGTCACCCGAACGAAGGCATAGTAAGGACGGAATATCAGTTGGGAACAAGTTACCCAGATTGCAGCGTCAATCGACAGCCATCGACGAGACTTGCATGCCTTCGAGCCAGCTGTGTGGCCGCCGGAGCTCGCAACCTACGCTGTCCGCGGATCAGGACTTTACAGACCGGAAGACCAGGCGCGACTCGCTGTCACCCGACTCTGCGCACTACGCCCGTCGCAGAGACTCCAGAGTTAGCGTAAGTACAATATGCCTTGCCTTTTGAGATATACATGACCTTCGAAATTACATCGAAAGATATGCGAACATTTAAAAACCTCGTGCCCCTTTCAATTTATTTTTGCATCTTTTTCAAAATCGAACCTTTTTACTATTTTAACTGAAGATGTGACAATTAACTATTTCGTAATTTTCATTAAAAAAATACCATTCAGCTCCTCTTCAACATATTAATTGGGTACGCTTACGGCTCACGGAATTACACCCTCTAAAGGTTTTTATCAGATCGATAGTTTTGTATGACATAACATGTCTGTTTTACGTCAAATAAAAGTATGTGCTTTGGTGAAATGACACTGAATATATGTATATAAATAGTAAAGACCGTTGACTTGAGTATCACATTGTTATTTATTTCGTTAACGGCTTAACGGATAAACATGAAGCATACGATTCCGAAGRAGGACTGAYTTTTATTTGATACATGACAATATTTTAGGTTATACAATTTGTTATCACATAATAATATTCTTATCACTACGACACGACACACATGTGCACTTTATATGCACTACATAATATTACATCGTATACCTATGAACATAAAATTAACGACAAAACTGTTGTCTTTTTGTGCATTTACAGGGTGGTCTGTCTCCGGACAGACAGGGCAGGGATGTATCTCCAGGCAGACAAAGGCGACGTAGAAACTATAGACGCCAGAGCACCACGATGGGTGGTTATAACGTACGCAGCTGCCAGTCTTCCAGGTCACCAGATTCGTCGTCATCATGCTCGTCCAGAGAACCTTCGCCTGCTGGCAGGGCCGTGGCGCCTGCGACTTCTCAACGGACGCCGATCATCCGGAGACAGTCCACAACCGAAGAGATATTGATTGCGAGGGGCTTCCGGCGACAAGTGCGTGTTTCCGGCCATTGTAGACTTACATGAATCTGATAATACATCATATGCTATTGTACTGTTGTTTGTTTTCGCCACGGACTGAGATTATTAATATAAGCTGACATCGCAATTACGTATACCTAAATTATGAATAAGGACGACTTTCTTACACCTCTTCCCACACTGTATTATATTTTCCCATCATTTGTAGTGGTAAACAACTGAAATATTAACGAACCTGATGGTTGCTGGATTAAATTTTACAAATCAAAAACATGCAATAAGTTATAAAATCTTTCAAAATGTATGTAATAATTAAATAACTATAAATTATTATGTTAAAAATAAATTTTTTGATTATAGTTTATCGCAAAAAAATTTAAAACTAAGTATTAAAATATTAACAATTATTAACAGGTCGTTAATAATGATTAAATGTTTTATAAAAGAGCAATACTCCTTCCCAAACTATTAACACTGGTGTTTCTAATCACACATCATTTTATATCCATTAATTACGTCTCAAATAAATCCATTGTAATATTCAAATCCTAGATTGTATACCAAATCTATATATG